TTTGAGGGAAGGTGTCTACCGGAAATCTGTCTGTCTCACAGTGCTCAGAATTCAATGGCGAATTTTTGTGGCTATTTAGAAGTTTAAAAATATGTGAAATGGAAAGTGTCCTTATTGCAACAGGTCCTTTATTCAAACATTTTTCTCTTTACATGCATTTTTTTCATGAATAAAACACACACTTATTAAAAGTAATATGAAATAAAGCGAAAACTAGTAAAAAAATTGCAAAAGTGGAAACTTGTAAAAGTGGTCTGTATCTTCAAATAGCGCTAAGTCAAATCCGAGAACTTTTGCTAGAGGATATGACAGTAAAAATACAAATGATTCAATAGAGTAGTGCCATAGCCAATTAGTTAAAATTGAGAAAAAATTTCAGATTTTAAGGAATATGAGCCGTTCAGTTGTATCGGTCTTGGATACACAAAATAAAATTTATATTTCATTAATTGTTTTTCATTTTACATAAAACTCTTTTTGAGCTGATATAGTACCATCCGATAATAGAAAAGCCATTAGTGGTTCACTGTGGTTGGAGCTGGCATATTTTCAACGTCAAGTACAATAGTAATGCGTTCGCTGTAATACTGGCAAAATCGACCACAGACGTGAGGAGACACAGGCATTCTATCAGTAATTCTCGTCTAACCGCGACATCACGATTGCATATCCATACCTCTGTCGAATAGTTTTTAAGATAGGCTTGATACCTAATACGTTGAGTGTAAGTACGGATAAATCATTTAATGGTGAGTGTCCGAATGGCCGACGTTTTTGAGAATACTTGCTACAGTAACTTTCTTTTCATTGTGCCAGTTTCAGTTTTAGTTTGGAAACTGTTGTTGTTAGCTGTGATGAACATGGTGCCAATGATGACTTATCAGGAAAAGTTCGTATTTTGAGTCGCCAGAGACGAGAGGAATTGGTGCCTGTTAAGTCAAACGCATCACAATAATAATTTTCATTGTCACTAAAACTTCTAAATTAATTGTGCCTCGAGACCAACGTGAAGTGAATGCAGTCGATAATGTTGGATACATTATTTTTTGGACAATGATCCAATAATAAATCATCTTCATTGCTAGAATAACGTTTTAAACAGTATGAATTGTATGATACCAACAATCTTTTATACCCTCATCAATTTTTTCTATTGGTATTATTTTCCAGTGGGTTCTACGATGAATCAGTTAAATCTTTGTCTGGATCGATATCGGCAACCGTGATGTTTATATAGGAGATTTAACTAACCATCGGGTTGTAACATGGAGTTTAGGAGTTACGAGTGGCATTTTGATTGCAGATGCTCACAAGCGAATCAACTGAATGCACCGTACGGTATCATATGTGATCGAAATGGTGACTTGTATGTTGCAGATACCGCAGATATAATTATCGAATACAAAGATTCAGTGTGCAAAACAACACATGCAGTAGTAGTACGTATAGTTTAATTTTTTCAAGAGCAGACGATTATAAACAATGAATGAGATTTCCCACACTGAATTATTCTGGAAAGATTTGAGCTGATACGTTTCTGCTACTAGAGCGCAGAGTATGTCCTTTCTTCGATGCATCTTACGAGGAAACCTTACATACGACTACTTCATGATTGACTACTTTCACGAAGAAAACTATGAGAAGATTCAACTTTGGAATGTGCTTCTGATAAAGGAAGTTTTTGTTGACGTTTAGGTTTTTTGCATGAGAGTCTATGACGATGAAGAAGGCGTCTATACCATTTATTAGATGGTTGATTAATATATAAAAACATGAGTTTTTGTTTACCTGGTTTAATACACTGGTAAAAAGTTTTGAAATTATCAGTGGGTTAGGGTCATCATTTTTAGAATGGTAACGTCATCTGACTGACTGACTAATTAAGTCTGATACTTCTTTTTATCTGCTCAACCTTATTTGTACTTAGGATCAGTGAAAAACATTCTCTATTGACTAAAGATTCCAGAAAAGCACGTTCGGTCTTTTTATCGGTTTTCGACATTTCTAATGAATTCCAGAGTATCGTATTGATAAAATTCAGTGTATTAAGATATTCTGAACTAGTTTAACTGATTTTGACTGTGATGTTATTTTTCCATTTGCATGAAAACAGCTCAAAACGGATTATAGGTAACTTTGAACAAAGAATCGAACAGGCATAGTCAGAAAAAAATCTAGAATTTTCATATGCTATGGGCTTCGCTAAGTATGCTTGATTCTCTCACGGATAGTCTGTTAATAACTGAGTTGAACTTTTTTCTCCTTTGTTATATACGGGTATCAGTGCTTTGTTTGTTTGCCTTTCTTTTCTTTTTCTTATCTCTTGTATGATCATCGTTTGCTCCTTAGTAGAGCACAAAAACTCATGTTTTTATATTCACAACCTTCGAAACTTCTGAAATAGAGTTCTACTTCACAAGTGAGTTTCCATGTCTGTTCTGAGAGTCTTTGTGTAGATACTATTCCTATTCCGACTTGGACAATCCTTTTGTTGTGTTATCTACTGCAATGCATGTGTTAAAAGTTGCTTTCATTATGCTTTTGTGTACGTAGCCATGCATGGGTCTCGCATATCGGTGATGACTTTCAACATGTGCAAAACGGACGATTATCCCATCAACTGGCCACATCGTCGTTTGCCGATTGTTGAATGTTTGAGGGCATTTACGCCTGATATTCTGTGTATACAAGAACTGCATCCATTATTGCACGACACTATCGTGGAAGCGTTACCAAGTCATGCCTACGTGCAAGATGATTTTCTTGGTTGGCAGTTTGAAGGTAACATCTATTGGAATTCGAACACATTCAAAATGCTGGAATACGGAATCGTTGATATCGGCATAATGGAACCATTACGACGTTTGTTCTGGGCACGACTGACGATCAAAATATCCTCGAATGGAACGGAAGAACAAAGCCAGTCAGACTCTAACCAATTGCTCGTAGCAACCGCGCATTACACCTGGGAAGGTCATTCAGAGGAGCGTAAAACAGACATCAACTTACGCAAGCAACAAGCACGTCGAACTGTGACTGCTTTGCAAGACTTGACAGCCAAGTTCGGCAATCCTCATTTGGCCGTCTTGTTTATGGGTGATTTGAATGAAAATTATCATCCACGGCGCATTTTGCGTGAAGCTGGTTTTGTCGACTGTTTTGCGGAGTTGCGGTTGCCTACTCCGATCACCCATCCTCAACGACCTAGCGAACCTAAAGAAGACATTCAAGTGAATACAACATTGGATTGGATAATGCAAAACAAATATGCACGTCCTATCTTAGCGAACGCACTACGAAATCTTTTTTGTACCGGAGGATATTCCGTGTCAGACCATTGTCCCGTGATGTGTGTTTATGAAATTGGTGCAGGGCCATATGTTTCGAATGCAGTGCAAGATTTTAGTGGGAAAAACATCGTCAAGTCGGTTTAGCTGGCATTTTCAGTTTGTCAATTTCATGAATAAAATTTGGTATAGCTGAAGTAGAACAAATAAAATCTGTTTTGTGCTATTTCGTGACTTTGTATCTAGGCTGGACAACGGAAAGACTGAAGGGATAAGTGCTCGGAAATTTCGAACTTTATCGAACCGATGTCAATTTTTTGTAGAAAACAGATTGTCTGAGCTACCTGTTTTATAACAAGTAGAAAGTCAGCACTGAAATATAATATGTAGTCACCTCCAAAATGTTCACCTCATTTCTTTATGCTTATTGCACCAGAAGGTAAGGATGTGGATCAAATATTCGAGTTTCAATATCTCAAGGCAGGAAGATTCATTAACACCGAGTATTGTTCCGTCGTACTACTATGACCATGGGTTACAAGCGTTGCAAGTTTGAAATCAGAATTCGAAAGTCGAATTTTGCTCGGAATCCAAGCTCTATAGGCAAAACCTGACTAAAAATTCAGTATCTCAGCAACAACGCACCATGGGGATGAAGGAAGTTGGGGTATTTCACTACACGTTAGGGCCTTTCTAACAAACACAGTCCCAATCCGAAATCGATTTAAAACCTCTGGTGGTTGCCTCGTTAGTAGAAAGCCTGTCAAAAGTTAGAATATGGGCCAAAAGTTTTGACTTTTTCATCAAGACCGTCAAGAGTTGTGGCGAACACGATCTCAGATAAGGCACGGGCAATTCAAAATTGTACCAAATTTTATTTTTAGCTTAAACATACATTTCTACATTCAGAATAAGCTGCTGATCACAAATATCAGCTAAGTTTTTCGATTTGACACAGTTTTTACGGAGAAAAACGCGAAATACTGTGAAGCTCTCAAAAATGTCAAAAACCTTAGCTTTTACAATATCTTAGAAGATATTGTTGTTGTTAGTTTCCATTACAATTATAGAAAATATTCAAATATAAATATGTTCATACATGAAAAGCGAAATATTTCAGACTTGATTTCTTCGCTATAGATTTTCTATATTAGAAAAATCGAATGAAAATACTTATTTTTTTTAAATATGGAGAGAAAAAATTAATCTGTTACATATTGAAGTCTTATATGATCTCGTGGTGATTTGCACAAAGTAGGCGATATTTGATCTGGAAAATCCAAAATGACCATTACCTATTTTCATACCGTTGGAGAGGTCAGAGATTTTTACTGGTACAGTTATAGCATTGTACCTTACCACTGATACTCTTGAAGTAGTGAAAACATTGACAGACTACGCCAAACATCCTAACGCTGTTTTTAGCTTATTTACGAAGTGAATGTATGGAGAGAGATTTTCGAAAAAATTTACATTTTTTTTCTAACTATCGCTCGCAACCTGTTCAAAATATTTTCTGCTCTCACTATTTGATAGATAATCTCTTAAGTTTTTGTTGAATATTTGCTAAATTCGTTGCCGATTTTCTATCAATGAATGATTGGCTGGCAATGTTTTTTTCGATATTTCAATTGCCTTCTTTAGATGATTCACTGATTTTTGATATTTACATGCGTCCTCATATACCAAGCTCATGTTTAACATGATAATAATAATATTGAATGTATATGCAATGGAAGGATGAAAACAATATTATTACCACTTAGGAAGTTTCCAAAAAATTTGTCGTATCTGAAAAGCGGAGATCCTATTTATGCGATTGAAGTCAAATAATCCTCAGCTTAATCATAATTTATTTAAACGGCAGTGTATTGATTCAGCGGCATGTATTTGTGCTGACGGTGATGAAACGATGAGTCATTATTTTCTTGAATGTTCTCTGTTTAGTCCATATAGGAAAGATCTCGAACTAGCACCCAGTCGTATCGGACTCTTGCTGTCTGTTGACATTTTACTACTCAATGATTGCGCTATTGAAAAAGATACCCTGACTGTTGTGCTTCGAGCTGTGAATGAATACATTGAAAAAACGCAATGATTTACATGAATCTCTTTATCTCTTGTTTCTTTCTCTTGGTGCATTCCAATTCATTTGTTCGATATTTAATAATAACAGTGTCAATATGTCTTTCTTTGTTATCTTATATGATCGGAATGAGATTATAAGTAACTAATAATAGCTTCTTGACACATACTTTCTCTCTTACTATCTGATTCTGCGTAGTTCTTTTGTTGGACTTATATATACACATACATAGTTTTATAAATTTAATATTGCATCTTCGTACTGCTATCTTGTATCATGTTCTTCGGCAAAAGAGAAGAGAATAATATTCACAAAGATGAAAATGGTCAAGTCCATGTTGAGGTCAAGAACATATTTGATGCGCACTAAAAACAATTTCATTTGAATCGGCGAGATGTTGCCTTGGTGATGTTACTACTAATTGTCGGCTTTGCGTTGGTCTATCTGTTCATTCGGCATTCATTGAAGAAAAAATGGAAAGAACTCCAGTTGCTCCGATCGTTAGTACAACATTCCGTGTAACAGCAGCAACATGTGACTGAACAACAGCAAGTATATACTGTTTCAAATGATGATTTACGAATTCCAATGATGCAAACGCGCGAAGAAGGATTGGTTTCATCTGTTCATCCCCCTTCATAATTGTTGTTTAGTTTTCATGCAAGTGTTTGCTCGACGGTACAGTAATGTTTGTTCAGTAATTCAAGAGGTCGTAGATGTCATTTCATATTTTTGATCAGTGTGGCGCCGACAATTACTTTGCAAATTTGCTTCGGAAAGCTAGAGAATTAGACTATACATAACTCGTGTCGTATTACAAGCTGAACTCCACAATATGCAGTTCACACAGCCGTCTGCCGTCCTGATTTGTTTGCCGTTACTTACTGATATTTTCTACATAATTTCCTCGAGCGTCCATTACTTTTTTCTCTCTTCTTCTTTATCAATCTTTCATTTCTTACACATAAATGCTTATCTTGTTGTTTTTATTCTGTCTTTAGGTGTGCTTAAAACTGTGCTAAATAATGGCAAATGTCTTCTCTAACCACTTTTATTTATTTATCTTTTTTTCTATTTTTTTGATTTTTTCGTTCACTTGATATTATTATTTAAACATAGCACCCTACAATTTACTTATGTTTTCTCTCATTTATGAATAAAAAAGTTTATATGAAAAAAAACAAAAAAAAACATATATGCTGTGACGAAGGAAAAGCGTAGTCTTGTCTCGTCTCGTCGAGGTATATATTGATAGATGCTGGCTGTGAGAAATGCATCTGCTTTCTATTCGACGAAGAAAACGACCTGTCAAGTCCTATGCCATATATGATGTCCAATGCCCTCTTTCACATACAAGCGAGCGTTCTGGGTATGAACACACAACTTGCAATAAGAAAAAGCCGAAGAAAATGATCGTCTGCTTGCATCTAAATTTTCTCCGCCAAAATCGTCAATCATCTATCTGAAAATATATGTCGTGACCTTAAAATGATTGTTTGTTTTCGTTTTACTCTTCAGATCGTTTGTGGCTTCCACCAGCGATCGTTGGATGAATGAGTAATTATCTGGTGCTGATGGAAACAACTACAATGGCAGGATTTGAGAAAATGGACAAACGCAAGAAGGAAACAGCTGACTTCGAAGCATTAGAGTCACTTCAAGTCAACTGCCCATGTAAAAGTGATAGACTTTCAAATTCACTTCGACTTTTTTTATTCTACTGATCAGACGTATCGTATGATTATCTAGCGTGTTCTCTGTTCTCTTCCCACATGTATTTTCGTCTATATAAAAATGAATGAGGGTATGATAAATACAAAACATGGTAACAATTCAAAGTTAGTCACTTTGACGCCTGACTCTAGTCAGTTAAATGATTTAATTTTAACAAGTATCCGTGGTAATATCGAATTATAATCCAAAATTAAAGGAATATTAAACGATAATAAAGGTGACTTCAGTGCTTGTTTGGAACCAATTGCCGCCACGCTTGTCGAGCCGATCCAAAAGCATATTGATTTAACAATCCAACCAATAGTAAATAAAATTAACCGTCTTGAACGCCATTCTCGTACACATAATGTTCGTTTCAGTAGAATAGATAATAACATGCCTCCTCATCGATTAAAAAATGTTATTGTGAATGTTGTATCACATTCTGGTCTTGAACTGGATATCAATCAAATTGAAGTTGCACATCGAATTGGTAAACTAAAACCAAATCGTACAGCGATTGCATGCTTTTATTCACGTGAAAATTTATATAATTTGTTAGTCAACAGAAAATGAATTCAGCAATCAACAGGTGTAAAAGTCTTCGAAGATGTCACACGACGAGATTTGAATATTATGCAAACATTGCGTGAACAATTACCGGATGAAATGAAAAAATTTGTGTTTACAAGAGCGGGTCGAGTGATGGTTAAAGATCAGAATAAAAAAATGATCTTTGTTAATGATGAACTAAAATGTGTGAAGTTATAAAACAATACTCAATTTCTCAGAATTTACTACCTGTTCCGATGCAGGCAGTAACACTTGACTCAGGCCAAGTTAATTCGTTATCAAATACACAAACAAAATAGCTATATCCAGTTGGTCCCAAAACATTAGTTTTGTAGATTCGCCGTCGTAGTACGAATACTTGCGTAATTTAAAAGAACTATAGTCAGGTAATGTTGTATACTTATTTGCTGTCCCATTCTGTCTTTTTGCAGTGCGTATTTCACGTCCGTTTTTCTTTAAACAGTCATACTTTGTATTTTGTTTTCTTTCTGTGGGTTAGACAGTCTCTACGTTAGATATGCGTTAGATATGCATTAGATATATGTGCAATCATTCGTGATGTACATATCGATTAAGGTACGTGTGGGTTATAAGCAGTTAAAATACTTCTACCAAGTTAATTTATATTTATTTTTATTCTCATCGATGGTTTTTATCCTTCTTGATGTTTCTTTCATAGCTTTTTCTTTCTTCTTAGGAGGTATGCACAGATTTCTGGATTCTCTAATCTTCTTCTACTCTAAATCAATCCATTTTGAGTGATATATAGTCGCTG